TCACCATAGTTTCCAAAAAAATAGAGCAACAAAAATTCTAAAAAGGGAACAAATTAACAACAAGCAAGCAACAAATTCTGGCATGATCGTTTTTAGTTTTTATGTTATTTAACCGAGTTTTCGAAAAATTAGTCTAGCATGGCATCTTCTATCACCATAGTTTCCAAAAAAATAGAGCAACAAAAATCCTAAAAGGGGAACAAATTAACAACAAGGAAGCAACAAATTCTGGCATGATCGTTTTTGAGTTTTTATGTCATTTAACCGAGTTTTCGAAAAATTAGTCTATCATGGCATCTTCTATCACCATAGTTTGAAAGAAAAGAGCAACAGAAATTCTAAAAGGGGAACTAATTAACAACAAGGAAGCAACAAATTCTGGCATGATCGTTTTTGAGTTTTTATGTTATTTAACCGAGGTTTCGAAAAATTAGTCTAGCATGGCATCTTCTATCACCATAGTTTGAAAGAAAAGAGCAACAGAAATTCTAAAAGGGGAACTAATTAACAACAAGGAAGAAACAAATTCTGGCATGATCGTTTTTGAGTTTTTATGTCATTTAACCGAGTTTTCGAAAAATTAGTCTATCATGGCATCTTCTATCACCATAGTTTGAAAGAAAAGAGCAACAGAAATTCTAAAAGGGGAACTAATTAACAACAAGGAAGCAACAAATTCTGGCATGATCGTTTTTGAGTTTTTATGTTATTTAACCGAGGTTTCGAAAAATTAGTCTAGCATGGCATCTTCTATCACCATAGTTTGAAAGAAAAGAGCAACAGAAATTCTAAAAGGGAACAAATTAACAACAAGGAAGCAACAAATTCTGGCATGATCGTTTTTGAGTTTTTATGTCATTTAACCGAGTTTTCGAAAAATTAGTCTATCATGGGATCTTCTATCACCATAGTTTCCAAAAAAATAGAGCAACAAAAATTCTAAAAAGGGAACAAATTAACAACAAGCAAGCAACAAATTCTGGCATGATCGTTTTTAGTTTTTATGTTATTTAACCGAGTTTTCGAAAAATTAGTCTAGCATGGCATCTTCTATCACCATAGTTTCCAAAAAAATAGAGCAACAAAAATCCTAAAAGGGGAACAAATTAACAACAAGGAAGCAACAAATTCTGGCATGATCGTTTTTGAGTTTTTATGTCATTTAACCGAGTTTTCGAAAAATTAGTCTATCATGGCATCTTCTATCACCATAGTTTCCAAAAAAATAGAGCAACAAAAATTTTGAAAGGGGAACAAATTAACAACAAGGAAGCAACAAATTCTGGCATGATCGTTTTTGAGTTTTTATGTCATTTAACCGAGTTTTCGAAAAATTAGTCTATCATGGGATCTTCTATCACCATAGTTTCCAAAAAAATAGATCAACAAAAATTCTAAAAGGGAACAAATTAACAACAAGGAAGCAACAAATTCTGGCATGATCGTTTTTGAGTTTTTATGTCATTTAACCGAGTTTTCGAAAAATTAGTCTATCATGGGATCTTCTATCACCATAGTTTCCAAAAAAATAGAGCGACAAAAATTCTAAAAGGGAAACAAATTAACAACAAGGAAGCAACAAATTCTGGCATGATCGTTTTTGAGTTTTTATGTCATTTAGCCGAGTTTTCGAAAAATTAGTCTATCATGGCATCTTCTATCACCATAGTTTCCAAAAAAATAGAGCAACAAAAATCCTAAAAGGGGAACAAATTAACAACAAGGAAGCAACAAATTCTGGCATGATCGTTTTTGAGTTTTTATGTCATTTAACCGAGTTTTCGAAAAATCAGTCTAGCATGGCATCTTCTATCACCATAGTTTCCAAAAAAATAGAGCAACAAAAATTCTAGAAGGGGAACAAATTAACAACAAGGAAGCAACAAATTCTGGCATGATCGTTTTTGAGTTTTTATGTCATTTAACCGAGTTTTCGAAAAATTAGTCTATCATGGCATCTTCTATCACCATAGTTTCCAAAAAAATAGAGCAACAAAAATCCTAAAAGGGGAACAAATTAACAACAAGGAAGCAACAAATTCTGGCATGATCGTTTTTGAGTTTTTATGTCATTTAACCGAGTTTTCGAAAAATTAGTCTAGCATGGCATCTTCTATCACCATAGTTTCCAAAAAAATAGATCAACAAAAATTCTAAAAGGGAACAAATTAACAACAAGGAAGCAACAAATTCTGGCATGATCGTTTTTGAGTTTTTATGTCATTTAACCGAGTTTTCGAAAAATTAGTCTATCATGGGATCTTCTATCACCATAGTTTCCAAAAAAATAGAGCAACAAAAATTCTAAAAGGGAAACAAATTAACAACAAGGAAGCAACAAATTCTGGCATGATCGTTTTTGAGTTTTTATGTCATTTAACCGAGTTTTCGAAAAATTAGTCTATCATGGGATCTTCTATCACCATAGTTTCCAAAAAAATAGAGCAACAAAAATTCTAAAAGGGAAACAAATTAACAACAAGGAAGCAACAAATTCTGGCATGATCGTTTTTGAGTTTTTATGTCATTTAGCCGAGTTTTCGAAAAATTAGTCTATCATGGCATCTTCTATCACCATAGTTTCCAAAAAAATAGAGCAACAAAAATCCTAAAAGGGGAACAAATTAACAACAAGGAAGCAACAAATTCTGGCATAATCATTTTTGAGTTTTTATGTCATTTAACCGAGTTTTCGAAAAATCAGTCTAGCATGGCATCTTCTATCACCATAGTTTCCAAAAAAATAGAGCAACAAAAATTCTAGAAGGGGAACAAATTAACAACAAGGAAGCAACAAATTCTGGCATGATCATTTTTGAGTTATGTCAGTTAACGGAGTTTTAGAGAAATTAGTCTAGCATGGCATCTTCTATCACCATAGTTTCCAAAACAAAAAAATGAAGAGCAACAAAAAATCCAAAAGGAGAACAAATTAACAACAAGGAAACAACTAATTCTGGCACGATCGTTTTTTCGTTTTTATGTCATTTAACGGAGTTTTCGAAAAATTAGTCTAGCATGACATATTCTATCATAATCATTTCCGAAAAAAAAGTTACAAAAATTTTAAGAGAGGAACAAATCAACAACAAGAAAGCAACAAATTATAGCATAATCTTTTTCGAGTATTGATGTCAGATAACGAAGTTCTCGTGTAATGGATCTAGCATGGCAGCTTATTTCATCATCATTTTATAAAACAATGAGCAACGAAAATTTCGAAAGTGGAACAAATTAGCAACAAGAAAGCAAACAATACTGGCATTACCGTTTTTGAGTTTTTATGTCAGAAAACGGAGTTCTCAGGAAAACGATATAATATGGCAGCTCATTTCATCAACTTTTTCGGAAAAAAAAGGAAGGAAAATTCTAAAAGGAGAAAAAATCCGCAACACGCAAGCAACAAATTCTGGCATGATCCTTTTTGAGGTTTCATAATAGTTAACGGTGTTCTCGTAAAATTAGTCTAGGTAGCATGGGATCTTCTTTCATCATTACTTCCTAAAAAAAAAACGAGCAACAGAAATATCAAATCATGATCCGACAACGAGAATGTTCGTTGTGGTATGATCATTTTCAATTCAACATAAAGACGTTTGCTGTGCCAGCCTTATGATGGTGCAGCTGGATGAAACAATTGTTTTCTGTGATGAAGAGAAATGGAAAAATTTGAAAGTGGGAACAAATTAGCAACAATTTAGCACTAAAATTTGGTATATTTGTTTCCCAATTCCGTGTTGAAATGAAAAAGATGCCGTGCCAACTTCTCGTAATGCTGGCATGGAATCAATTTTTTTTTGAGATAAATGCGGAAATCCGAATGGGGGAACAAATAAGCAACAAATAAGCACTACAATTTGGTATATACTTGTTTCCCAATTCGGAGTTAAAATGAAAAAGTTGTTGTGCCAACTTCTCGTGAAGCTGGCATGGACTCAATTTTTGCTATATCTGCGTAAGCAACAAATTTTTGGAAATTGGAACAAATTAGCAACTTAAAAGCACTAAATTCTGGTATAAATTTTTTTGGATTTTGTTGAAGTGGTCGTGCCGGCGTAACGTACGTAGAAATAAATACTACCTATACAGGAGAAAAGTATAATCATTAGATCACAGAATGTAGTCTTCATGTAAACAAAAACTAAAATAACTGTATTTTCTGTATGTATATGATTCAACTTCAACAGTTTTTCCACCAAATCTTCGTTACTGCTGCGATTCTACACGGTATATGAAAACTTGCCAATTATTGAAAGACAAGATAAATGTCTCACTGAAGAAATTGTCACTTTCATCGATATTCGAATGTATATATTACAAATAATTCATTTTATTCTTTGGTAGGTCAATGAGGAATTGTAACAATATGGTACTCAGACTCTCGTATCTGAAAGTTATTTTCTACTACTGAAATTTATGGAAAATTTATCAACATTTAACATTGCATTATGGAACTGTAGTAGCTGACATTTGCTCTCCATAGTGAAATATGTATTGCTGCTGAATAATCTGATTTCACATTAGCTTTTGATGGTTTCAGATATGTTGAAAGTATTAATTTAGCCTTCGTTGATTTTCACTTCATATGGTCTACGAATTTCTGCATGTTGATCAAGCTTCTTTTCAATTTTCAAGGTCTTCTTGTGATGGTTGTGATGCTTTGGTGAATTTATTGAAATACAGTTTTTGCTTCTTACACTGTTCCACTAACTCTTCATGGACCTGTTCGTGATACTCCACAGCTCGTCGATATATCCCAAGTCAACACTGGCTAAACATCAATCAATCTCAGGGATATTGAAATAAATCGAAATCAGAGTAAAATGTCCGTGTGATATCATTTCTTCCAAAAGATTGATGCATTATCAATCAGCTTACCGATTTTGGCAAATATTCCAGGAGGAAAATGTTCTCCTATATATATTGGAAGTCGCATGTTGCGGAGATAACTTATTATATCCATCGCTGTATAAAATGTTAATTGATTCCTGATGTTTCAGGTTATTACGCAGACCATTTATCAGATTACACGGAACCGAGAGAGAATTTCACCATTTTTGCTAAAAATGAGACCACCAAGAGCTTCCACCTGAATAATCTCTCATATGCAGGACCCATTGTGATGGGAGTCGGAGGTGAGTTGAGTTGAGTTTTAGGTTTGAGAAGTTGGCTGCGGCTACCAGTACCACAGTAGAGAGCTTGTGCCAGTACAAACGTTTTTCGCGCGTATACGCCCGTGTTCGGGTAACAGGATTAAACTTGTAGTTCAAACGGGTTTGTTTTTTTCGCGCGAACAAGTATCTTTCGAGGTTGTGGTTATAGTGCAAGCGTTTTCGCGCGAATCATACCGACTTCGTTCGTATTCACCCGTATTCAGAAGAGTAGACATGTGGTGCCTGGTTCCGCGACATTCGCGCGAGTTTCAGTCGGAGTTTAGCAATATCGTATACAGTCATGATTATTGATGAGGAGTTGTATTTTGCGTAAAACTTATCATTAATAAAGACGATTCTTTTCGAACCGGAAACGACATAATATTGTGTTAATAGCATATTGGCTGACCATCATTTTACTAAATACTTTGTGCTCTTCGACGAGTTGAAGATGCAACCATTGAAATTTTAATCAGTAGCAACTTCATTCCATAATCGAGATTTCTCTCTATTAGAGTTACTTCAACATTTCTGGTTTCATAGTGATTTTCTGTCAAACACTAGAAATACTAACTTTTTCATATCCATTTTTTTATCCTATAAGCAACTTGTTCGCGCAAAAAACATACTTAATTGAACTACAACCGATTACTAGTTATTAGTGCAACTAATTCGCTTTCACTATAACCACCGAAATATTATTCTACGAGTTTGTTCCTATTGGCCAAATACGGGCGTTTACGCGCGAAGTACAATTCGCGAGAGCACGCTAACACTGTAATCGCACTCTGATAGGTAAATTGACATTCAAAAATTAGTATTACTGTCTTTTCGTCTGTATTCCATCGCTTGAGTCGTTCATGTTTGCTGTTATTGTATGCAGAAATTTATCTCGTTTGAGGCAGATACATGCAGCAATATAACCATAGTTAATTTGTCATTATATGTTATTACATTTTTTAAAGAAGGTACCTGCTCATGCAACTATAGGGAACTTAGTGAACTAATTATCCGAAGTCAATTCGAGGATATTTGTTATATGATCGCTCAATTTGTTCACATAATATTTTAGGATAAGTGTAGTGTGTGTTCTCTCATTTATTATTTTTAAGAAAAATCATCAATCGTTACATAATATAAAATAATTATGCAATAGTGATTTATTTTCCCAATTAACCCAAGGCAGTGTTATATTCAATAATGAACGATGTATGAATCAACCATTCAAGCTGTAGAAGTGCCTACTATAAATGTATCATAGCAGGACTAAAACAGCTCAGCTTCATTTCAGAGTCTTGAAAGAAAATTATAGAAGAGAAAATATATTCAAAACATATAGGCGGAGAGTTTCATTCATATTGTCCAAAACTTGGACATGAAATGCACAATTCATGTAAAGTGTATGTACAATAGGTAGTAGTCCGATTCATATCCAGTAGTTGTACAATCCATGTCGAATAATTACACAATTCATGTTCAATAATTATACAATTGATGTACAGAATAAGATGTACGCATGTATGCAATGGACATCCATTGGATAGCTATGTGTTATTAAGTACCTTGAGCATTATGAGATGATAGAAATCATCGAGCCATCATCCTTCAAGTCGATAGTCGTCTGGTTGAATCATAAAACCTTCCGGGAGTTGTCGTCTATACAGGGTGTCCAGAAATGAAACCTACAAAACTATAATTGCAAAATGCCGTACGCAAATGTCCAAAACCGCTTCGTTACTGGCATACAGGGGATTCATGGATTTAGAAAAAAATTCAATCTACTATATTCAATTCAGGGATTACCCCATTCAATATGGAAATACAGGGTGGTAAATTGAAAAAATAAAAATCAACTAGTATCATCAACCCAAAAATATTCTGGAAAACAAATTTTTGCACTACTCATCACTGACCAAATTACGTCCACAAAGATAACAACAGATATGCATTCTTATTCAAAATAATTCAAATATTTCGGTGCAGCATCGAACACTTCGAAATCGGCTTACTTTAGCGAATATTTTACAAAAGTCCCTTTTTTGCTTAGAAGAGAGTCAAAAAGTGCACTCGTCCTCTGAGAACATGTCGTAGTTGAGTAGTGTCAGAACTGAAAATCATGATTTCTGAAGACGAGTGTACACTAAGAAAAAAGTTATGGACCGTCTTAACCATGAGATTCATGAGAAGTGAATTAGTAAGCGCCCTCTAATACCCACAGTGATAATGTGTCCGTATTCGGATTCAAGCTACCGATTTTCGAAGTGATACGTTCAGAAATGTTAATAAATTTTGAAAAAAATCGATTTCAATTCTTCAAATTCACCACCCTGTATTTCGGAAATGGAGCTATTTCGGACTGAGGTAAGATGCTTTAGATCGGCTTATTTAGATCTGGGATTTTGTAGATAGCTTTTGGGCCACCTTGTACTCACAAGAACATGGAAAAGAGTCATTCCGGTCCTGATACGAATGTAATCTTCAGTTTTCTTATACGTTACGAGAGTGATTTATAAAATATGTCTGCGAAGTCATCAAAGAGGATAACAACAATAATGTCTTGGTTTCGAAAATATTCATCATATTTCCATTTATGATGAAATTTCAGCCGAAAATTAATGAAAACATTGGAATAATGATTTTCTACGGAATGACTGAAATGGGCTTATATCACAAAACAATTTCATTTCATAATTGGATAGAACTCACCCAAACTAGCTCACCACCGCAAACCGCTTCTTGCTGTGAGCTCCCTACGTTTTATAAAAAATTATTGAAATCCCCGATTTCTCGGACCTCTGAAAACGAGGCGATGATGTGTCGTCAAAACCCTAATACTGAAAGAAGACTACTCCAGGCAGAGATGAATGATACATGATTTCTGACAGAGTGAATTAGCGCGAGATCACAGTTGAAAGAATTAATATATCAGTTGCCTCAGTCTCCGTCGGGCGTTTGGTATTTTATTTTAACTATGACGAGATGAGGATTCTACGTCATAAGAGGGCCCGTTTTCAGAAAGTACTATTATTTATGTCCAAAAATGAAACATTCCAGTTAATTTCTCGATCGAATTATGTCGTCAATTATTATTTATGTATAAAAGGATCATTATAAACATGGTTTGAGTTAAAAGTTCTACTAAAGTTCCTATAGTATTCTTTTCGTAGATTCATAATGTGTCAGTTATTCTCACAATGACTCAACAAAGGAAAGATGACATTCTGGTCCTGATATTGGTTTCGTTCAAAGGGCTGCTTGTTGAATCCTTAGAGTTGAATGCATGTATCCAATCCGAACAAAATCGGGTAATCCCTGTATTTAATATAACAAATTGATTTTTTCCACAGATTTTACAAATCATGCACTCTCTATGTCAGTAACGAAGCGGTTTTGGACATCTATATATGGCATTTTGCAATTATAGTGGCAGGCCCTATAACTCTAAAGTTTTTTTCGGTTCCATCTCTGAATACCGTATCATTGATACATGCATGCAAGCGTTGATGAACTCTATCAGCTTGTCAAGAAATGTTCCAGAAAGTTTTTTTTCAGGCTTCATAGTAGTCGCTGCTTGCGTTATGACTTTCGAAGCCAGAGACTCAGCTGCCAAAGTTGTACCTGCCCGCTTCAAGATGAGTACCACCATACCACAAGCAAGTGTTTGCACAGCTCACAGTGGTTACAGTAGACATGGATCACTGAAAACATCAGGGGTTCAAACAACTTCCGCAAGTCAGCATTCACATTGCCATCCCGGTGACAGAAGGGCGTTGACACAGTCATTTGTCAGTTTTTCAAGAGGACTTGTTCTAGATAATCAAACAAATAAAATGTTGCTCAAGGTCCCACAGGTATTATAAAAGGTGCATGATACCAGACACTGAAGTCGAAACCAAGAAATTAGATTTCTTTAATATTTCTCTTGGAGTATATATTCACAGTTACTTTCACATAGGTATAGACTATTCAGAATTTTCTACAGCATGATATTATAATATAGAGTATAGATGATTCATATTATATATCATGAACAAATAATATTAGAGATTCATCGTCGTTTCATCTCAAAGCAGCATAATTATTATGATCAATATTGATATACAGGGTGAGGCATTAGTGCATCGGAGCGCGCTTGCTCGAGTTCTATGATGGCTAGAAACTTGATTCTGAAACGAATATGAATGAGACAACGAGATCCATAAATAGGAATTATTGCCGCATATACAGGAGGCACCGGAAAAAATCTGGAGGATCAGGATCACTTTTTTGAATGAAATGACCTATATATTAGCACCTTTTTTTAAGCATCCCTGTGACCTCCATTCACTCCTATAATATTTTTTTTTATCGATTGGAGCGCACGAAAGGGAATCCCTATAATGTTCAAAGAACATCGTGCGTTACTAGGGAATTTTTTTTGAATTTTTGGAGATTATATGTTGTTGGGAATACTTCCACAGGCAATGAATTCCAGAGCCTAGCCGTTCTATGAATGAAGGAGTCTTGATAAAGTGCTGTTCGACATCTTTCGAGGTTGACAACGGAAGGATGTGCTGACTGGGCTTGTCTAGTTCGTCTGATTGGTATTGCTAGTGAAGGGATGATTGCACAGATTTCCGAAGAACATTTCCCGTGGAAGTATCGATAGAAAAGTGAAAGGTCGCCGACCTTTCTACGGTGTTCCAATGATGTCAAAGAGTGAGTGTGTGTGGCGTCACCCACCAGGCGAATGGCTCTTCTCTGGATGGAATCTAAGAGCATCAGCGTATGTTTTGGTGCTGAACCCCATATGTGGAAACAGTATTCTAGAACAGGCCGTATCTGCGCTTTGTAGATCATGAGAAGCTGTTGAGGTGTAAAGCAGCTTTTCGCACGGAACAAGAATCCGAGTTTTTGTGAAGCAGCTTTTGCGATGGATCTGACATGATTATCCCATGAAAGAGTGTTGCTGATGGAAATACCGAGCATTGATATGGTGGGCTTGGTGGGGATGGTGGAGCCAGACATAACAATATCGGGCATACTGAGTTCCGCCTTTCTAGAGAAAATGCAGGCTTGAGTTTTGGTGGCGTTGAATTCAACTTCGAAAATTATAGGTTGGCCATTTTCATCCATACACATTCTCATCAGTTATTGAAACATCAAAAGTCCAATTGATAATTTAGTAAACTTATTTTTTATTGAGAGAATTGAAACCAGAATCGAAGCAAACAAAGAAATCCATTTTCAAAATATCCCATAAATTCATAGCATATCAAAACCAAAACCAGGATAATAATTCACGACTGTGCAAAATGGGAATTTTGTTCCTATTCACTTTGTGAATAACTAGCGTATGAACTATTTCTGTTCACTTTGATTCTGGTATCAGTTTTTGCAATGAAAAACAAGTTTAATAAATTATTAATTTGACTTTTGATGTTTTGATAACTGATGAGAATGTGTATCGATGAAAATGGCCAATCTATAATTTTCAATGATTCTAAAATGGTAACGAATATCAATATGGATGTTGAGATGGAAGATGTTGGTGTTTCGATTTTACCCCGAATGGCCTAAAAATATATGGGGTGTTCTATTCGAAAAACTCGAGAAAAATCACTTCCAAAAGTCATTTTTACCCACCCTGTATAATTTGATGGCAAGAAAATTTTACACGAATATCACTCATCTTCCCATTGAATAATACCATGATTATTCTCTCTTGAATTTCATAATTGTGACTATACAGTGATTTTTTCGGTATGCATCTGCAGATGATATTATTTCGACAAACAAACTATAATAACTTTGAAATGATCGAGATATATCCAACAATAATATAGAAGTTGTTGGAGGTCACAGGGATGCTTCAAGAAATGTGCTAACATACAGGGCATTCCATTTAAAAAAGTGATCCTGACCCTCTAGATTTTTCCCGGTGCCCCCTGTATATGCGGCAATATTTTCTAGTTATGGATCTTGATGTCTTGTTCACATTCGTTTTTCACTCGAGTATATAGCTATCATAGAACTCTAGCAATCGAGCTCCGACGCTCTAATGTCCCACCCTGTATATCCTTCAAATCACGAGGTAATTTCACTTTAATTAGTAACATTTGAGTTGATACAGAATCGGAATGCGGGCCAATCTTCCTCGAAAAATCTGAAAATACAGGTTGTTTCACCTCCAATGTCGACATCACACGCACTTCTCACTATAGACATGTATATAGAACACAAAGCTCATAAATATTTATATCTTAATGTTTGAAGGCTTGATCATAAGATCATAAGGTTTTTATACTAAATTCTTGAAATATTTGGGCACTAAAATAAAGGTCAATCTCAGGCTAACGTGGATGTATAGTAATGAGGAAGAGAAGGGAAATTACTCAGACGTGGGAGATGAATTTTCATCTGTTTACAAATAACTGAATGTTGCAAGGTCAATTAGCTATCAGTTATTGTCATTGAATTTATCTTCGAAAAGTTGAAAAAAAATAATAAGATTCTCACTGATATTGATTATTATTGATACATACTTTCTTGATAATTATTGTGATGAAATAATCTGTTTTACCTATCTGTTTCTATCACATAAGATTTATTTGAGGTTCCTTGCCTCCAATTACAAAGAACTCGAACTGATAATGGTCTGAACAAGCAATTCAATTGAGCATGATTTTGCTCGGACCTAATTTATTGTGACTTTTGTGAGATTTGATTTTCCACTCGAAACCAACAACACATCTTAATTTCTGCTTTCACTTGAAGTTGGTGAAAACATTGTCCGAAAGCTCCCGGAGGATGTAGGAGAGAGCTTGGTTCATAATAACATTATCTTTCATCAGGAAGTAACTCTGGTAGCCTTCTGGGAAATTTCAATAAGGACTGAATGAATACTTCGAATATGCCGAAATACTTCTCTTTATTTTCCAGGGTTCCATCAATAGAAGTCCATCCGCTCCTGATCTTGCTTTGGAACGAGCTGGTAGCAATGAACAATCTACCTCACCAGTTCTGAATCATCCTCAGCCTCTAAAAGCTGCAACAGCGAGAAAACCAAAGACATTCGCAGCGTGCTCTTTATTGAACCCTGGTTTATTGCACAGGCATGCACTATCTGTAGATGAAACAGCTGGAAATTATAGGTCAGTTTTTTTGAATAAGAAAGACTTTATTATCAATATGGAATTCATTTTGTGCCATATAATTGTGTGTGAGGAAGAATATACAGGGATTCAGGCACAAAGAAGTTCTTGTTTCGTTCCACTGCTAGCTCTAGAGCACTTCATCATGTGCAATATTTGACTTGAGAAATCGTTTTTTTTTCGCTACTGGTCGATAATAAAATGTCTGTACAACTTTCGAGTCGATGCTGTCATGAATTCGGCGATAACAACAGTGATATTGTGGTATGTCCTCACTCTGTAGTCATTTTACTAAAGCACAGCATCTTACTACTACTACTACTTATACTGTTTGTAGGTTAATCGAGGAGGTGGTATACATTTATAGTTCCAGATTTTTATTTGGGATTTTCTCTCCTCGTCTCTATAAAATAAAAATATGAATAATAATCCAATATTCGTGTAGTTAGGACAAATCAGATGATTCGATTCAAATTCTCACTGCGTTTGAAGAATTTTCCTAGCAGAGGTCCTAAAACAAAAATTCACTAGCCTGTCAGTGACAATTTGAACTGAAAGATGTTTGGAGAAGAGGAATAAAGGTATATAGAAAATATATCAAATTTTTAGTTATCTTTGGATGTTTCGGGAACGAAATCTGCTCCCGTTTTATAGAGACGAGGAGGAAATCCCAAAAAAATCTGGAATAATGACTACTGCTTATGGATATAGATAAGTATATGCAAATTCAAGAGTTTCAACTTCTTGATTACTGTACTAGTATGGGAGTCATTAATCAACATTTTGTTTCTAATGGTTTCTTGAGGCGCTAGCACGACTTTTTGTCATGATAATAAGAATAAGATGTAACGTTGTTTATCATTTTTTACATCTGATTAGTTGTATATAAAGTATGGTATTTTACTCGTACATAATGGCTTTCACTATCTTGTAGGATTATAACACTAGCTTGCGGCTTCTACTGCAATTTTCAAGTTCGTGAGTAATTATTACGAGCGCATGAAGATGACTATAATTGTCATCTTTATGCGCTCGTTGAGAACGTACTGCTATAACGACACGGAGCGAGACAATTATAGGAGTTTGAATTAAGAGTACGAGAGTTCAGTCATCTTGGAACCATGTAAATGAACATGAACAACCAACATTGCCGCAGACGAGATCATTCCTGACATGAAATGAGATTTCAAATCATCCAATAGTCCTTGGGTCTGATTGAGATTATCTTCGAAGGCATAATGTGACGATGAAGGCCGTCCTCTGCCTTGTATTGTTGATGACACAATCGACATGTTGCTGGAATCAAATCTATTCTTCATTTTGGACATGGAAAGGAAATATTTGCATCGAAACTGGACTATAGCATATCATGGTTATGCCTTTTGCGCTTCAATTCGAATTAAGGAAGAATTTGTTGACACGACTTACCTGAAAAATATCATCATGAGAATGCCAACAGATGGAAAAAATTACAAAATATAGGTTCGAAGAAACCTTTGAAATATGTATAATGGACAGAGAGGCATGGAAGGAACGACCTCCTATCAATGCAGACATAGCTCTCTATACGGACGGAGAGGGGTCAGGAGCTGGTATTTATGGGACCAAGCCAAAGACAAGAATCTCACTGAGCTTAGGCAAATATGCGACGGTGTTTCAGGCAGAAATTATTGTAATGCATTATTGCTTGAAATAACTGATAAGGCAAGAGTTTGAAGGGAAAACAATTGCAATCTATTCGGATAGCTAGGCAGCAATCAAAGCAGTCAACTCAATGCAAGTTCACTCAAAGCTAGTATGGGACTGCTCAGAAACCCTAAATGAACTGGGCAGTCAGAACAGACTGACTCTAGCATGGGTAACAGCATAAATAAGGCACGAGGGCAATGAAGAGGAAAGCTCACTTGCTTGAGCAGGGGCAAACAAACCTCTGAATGGCCCAGAACCCGTTTGTGGTATTGCGAAAGCTATACAAAAGACAAGTATCAAATCATGGATGCAAACCAAATCTCAAGATTAGTAGTAAAACTCGCCAGGAATGAGACAGGCAAAAGAGTTTATTAAGAAACCATCGCCAACATTCACAGAATATCTACTGAGCCAGAAACGAAGTACAACTAGAATACTAGTGAGACTTCTCACAGGGTATTGAAGACTCAACAAACACATGAGTAAAGATAGGTCTGACTGAAGAACTGCTGTGCAGGTTCTGTCAGGCAGAGGAGGAAACAGCAACCCGTACTTTGCCACTATGAGGGCTTGTCGAGACTAAGGTTCCTTATGCTGGGAGAGAAGAAACCAAGTGCCCAAAGTTACACAGGGGATCTGAAAGCTAGCCTATGGAGTCTCATAGAGAAGGTGGGGCTAGCCAAGGAAGTCAAAACGATTTCGAGGGCAGACATAATAGATCTGAAAAGGTCTCGGTGTGGAAGCAGATAGCTCGAAGGCCCCACTCTAAATCTATATCTACCTGAAAAATATGCCTCCATCCAAATAACATCATCGTCAACGATGACATTCTTGATTCTTATTTAGCTAATACAGAGGAAATCTTCAAAGGGCTACAGGCAGCAGATGTGACATCAACCTAAATGAATATCATTCACTGCAAAACGGATCGTGGATCAACACCCGCGAAACTGCTCATGGCCTAAAAATCGGATGTAGACCTGAGGAGGTCGTGGTGAGGAAAGATTACTTCACTAGTCTGAGGATTGAGATATTGACGAATTAGTTCATTTCAATCTCAAATTCATCCTTGACCGCATGAAGGACTGATACGATATCAAAGCTGGCAGTATTTACTTTGCATAGGAGGGAATCTGGTGTGTGGTTTCAGAGACATTGAGAGACTATTCTAACAGAGGGGACTCAGGATCAACAATTCAGAGAGAAGAAGAAATATGATCATAAAGAGATTTAACAAGTTGTTGGAGCTTCAACAACAGGGTCTAACCATTGGATGAGCTATAGAAATATAACATATTAGTCCTGACGGAACACGGTCGGTGTTTCATCTATCATCGAAAGAAAGATCACCTCAGAAACCAATTCAAGAAGAGCTCTGAGATACTTTAGTCGACTTACGAAGCGCCATAGTCAAGAATAGTTCACAGTAGGTAGCCGTTCTGAAGCTGGCTTGCGTTCTATTGAAATTCAAGAAAAGAGTCAGCATCAAGCTACTTCTACCAGGGAACAGCCCATCATCTACTCAGCAGATGAGGTAGAATTTAGACATTTTGTACCTCAACTACTGTGAACATATCTTTTCCATATGTTCAATATTGAATAAAAGCAATTCTTCTTTACTAGTGAAAACTCGTGTTTTAAATTTGGATGATGGACATTGTTTCTCATTATTATTTATCCAACATGAGATAGCACATAAAATAGGGTTCATTGAAAAAATATTCGAATGAATAACACACACATGAATCACCAATCAATCTCAAGAAAATATCTACACCAAACCGATAACGATGAAAATCACTAATCTAAATACTGAAAATCCTGGCTGAACTCGTATCTTAGCCCCGTATACGAAACCTCGAATGAATATTCAGTCCTAGCAGGAGATTCTCGTTATCGATTTTGTCATCAATATCATTTCATTCAAGGATAAGTACGGAGTCTCTACATCCAAGTGGCAGCCATGGCTCCATGACGATGGATCTTCATTGTGAATGCCCCATCACCTTGAAGATCAGTGATAAACGACGGAACCCCCTGAAAAGACAGAGACGAGTCGATGATGATGGTAGTATTTCCAATGAAAACAGTTTCAGGAGAAGCTCGCATACTTGTTCAGTCAGAGGAACATCATCTCATTCCTTGAGGGAAGCTACGTCAAAAGGTAAAACTTGATTCTAGTATCCCTTTCAGTGTTGCCAATATCAAATTTCCAAGTGAGACACTCCTGTACCGCGTATATACAGGGTGAGTAATGACTAACCAGCCATAGCCTAATGGCAGATAGAGGAAGTCAAAGTGAGTTGATATATGTGGAAAAATATATATTTGCCTATTCGAACAGAAATACAGAGCACCATTTGAATTCGGGACGGAACTTTGATGAATAATATTCCAGGAACGGCTGGATGTTATCGCCTGAAATTCACCAGTAACTTACCTTTACTGACTGGAAAACTCATTTCCTTTTTAGATGTCAAAATTCTGGATTTCTGAATCGTATATTTGAAAACTTTCATCAGAATCAGAGAGATCAGGAAAAACACTACATGTAGAGCTTTGCAATTTTTACGGCACACTTCGACCAGATTGTCGGAAAAATATCGAACAAATTACTGATGAACGATTCCATGATCTCGTACTGGCTATTTGTAGTCAACATCGTTAAACAAATTTATTTTAATCCATTTCTTGCATTACGGTGTATTATAAGACCTTCTAAAGCATAGAAGTGAGTACCTCATTTGAAGAACAAATCCAATATCTTCTTTTCTCTCGTGCGCTCCGAAAGAGATGAAAAAATATAAAAAATCATTGCTTGGGTAATAAATTCTTTCCAAATCAGATATACGTGCGAACTCATACAGCATAGAGAAAATTTTGAGATAACATGGAATATGATCTCATTGCATTTATGTGAACTCTCCCAATCAGCGAATCAAATCGTGAGTTTGGTATTTCCATTATTCAGAAAACACTACAAAAAAAGGGTGTGATGGATGTATGGAAATGAATTAAAATAAGTATCTTCTCCCAACGGGATTGCTGCTATATCAATATGAAAAAAAAAAAACGGATTTGAATACGTTTGGTCAAATGTAGAGAGTAATGGCCCGGACGGAATCGAAGAAACATTTGTCTGAATTTTGTTTGATATTTTTCCACCAATCCGGTCGGAGTGTGCCGTACAAATTGAAAAGATAACGTGCAATGTTTTTCCTGATCTTCCTGATTTTGGAAAATACGATCCAGAAAGTCGGAATTTGGCTCTGAAATGTTCCTTCCATAGAATGCCATCGTGTGGTGTCTCAGTAGAGGTAAATTGCCGGTGGATTCCAGGCGAAAACATTGAATCGTTCCTGAAATATCGTTCATCAAAGTTTCGCTCCGCATTCAAATAATGCCTTGTATTTACGAATAGGCAGAATATATTTTTCCACATATACAGGGTGTCCCAAAATTACATAGAAAGATCTCAATCACAGATTCTATGAACGAAAATGATAAAAAATCTTCCCCTGGGGGGTTATAGCCACTTGGAGGAGAGCTCGAGATGGTTTTATGAAAATATTTCCGAAAGTCTCTGTGATGAAAATAAACAAACTCTGTACATGCTCATAACTTTTCATGATTAATTTAAAAACGTTAAGAATTTTCCGAAACTTTGATCAAGGGCGTGGTGAATAGGTGAGCATCTTATTAAAAAAATCGTTCCTCAAGTTTTGTTTCTGTACATCCATGAGATTCACATAGATTATTTTGAATTAGATTTACTTCTAAGGATAGTCTACGCATGTCTACGGAAGGCCATCAAAATATCTGAATTAAAAATATATATTGACATAATATTTATAAAAGTAATTTAAAAAAAACTGAAGGGTACAGAGTAGGTATTCTTCTTTCTCAATTATATCACTGTCTCAGATTGTCATTCTGTAAGAAGTGCTTCTTGTTTTATCCTTTATACACTCCGAATATATTCTATTCTTCAATACGATTGTAATTCACATCTATTTTCAGAAAACTATATATTTTTCCGGCACATTTGAGTGTTTGAAAATTCGTGTGTCGACAGGAAACATATATATATTACAACAGTATTATATTCATCGATGCAAATCATTCCAGGTGGATCAGCTCACCAACTTCCCACCCTCTATTCACACTGCCCTCCATCTAGACGGAGAAGTTCGAATGCTTCAGATTGCACGCAACGAGCCAGGCTCCAGAAAAGAGAATGTGGTAAATCACGTGGCCATCTAGAAAGGACAATCAGTTCAGATTCCCGACTCACCGGAGCCATTCCCAAATATCATCATACTGCTCAGCAAAACGTACATCATATTCCAAAGCATAATACTGATCCTACTTCCCAATTACCCACCGAGGACCAAGGACAGTGAGATGAGACAATCTCCGTTGATATTAGATAATAATTATGATAGATTTATGTCCCATCCATTTGATCAATTATTACTGGCTGTTGGTCATTTTGTTGTTGTTCTTGTGAGGTAATAATGTAAATCATCCATCAAGTTCCCTCTTGTCAATATTCAATAATGTACTCAATGGAAATCAAGAATTTGATAGAAGATTTGAAATATGTACCTCCATTATTCATTATCATTGTTATACAGGGTTGAACATAGTTTAGATATCTACTTCTGTATAGGAAATTGAAATTATGCAACTTCCACTTGAGATAATGTACTGACTCCAAACAACTCGGTCTCTATTTAATTGATAAGAAATCACGAGATGATTGAATACACATTAGTAGTTGGTATAAGTGTGTAAGAATCAATATTGTTAAAAAAACCTTGTGTTTTTATCATCCAGAGAATCAATATGAATCAAATGATATATAGGTACAGGGTGACCAGTCGAAGCTGCTCACCACTATAGTCAACAACAAAAGTCAACTCCAAACGGCGGAGTATGAATACTATAACACGACCTTCCCACGGCCCGCAGAAGTTTCACAGTGTAATTACTTTTGTGGCTCCAGAAAACAAATATTTTTGTGCTGGTATCCACAGAAATAGTGAAATGGTGATTGCACGTGGAAACAATTCGAATAGCCGTTTTTTCTGCGATTTTACATATTTTTGGGGGTGCTGAATCTGAATCTGAAGTCTGCAAACAAAATTTCCTAGAGCGTTCCTACATATTCGCAAAAAACAACGATATGTTCGCACTTTTTCAGTTTTTTGCCAGTAATTGGCTAATTATACATTTTTGTGAGAAGACTACTCTATAATAAGTTGTTGAAATTTTCTATATATGATTTTGACATTGTTCATGGATGTAGGACTACTGAGTGAGAGGAGTTAGAGGAAGTTGAAAATAGACCAAATTTGCGTACTCTCATAATCTACGTATTTCTAGGAGAAACAAACTACACTTCCTGATGGGAAGGAGTCCTTGCCATGTGAGTTATTGCTTTTGTCAGCGGGTTATTCGATTCCCGATTTGTCACACCAGTACTTATAGGTATATTAACATCCACTAGGTAGAATCTTTTCACACCTGCCTCTTGTTATTCGTAACGGAAAAAAAGCAAATTTCTCTCATATACCACCAGATATAGGATGAAAGAACTCTGGAGCGAACACGATCCGACCTGCACCATCACTACCGCCAGAACCAGATTCTTCAGGATATCAGTACCCCGTCAAACGACGATTAGATTGTAGATTGTAGGGAAAACTTTCATCAAATGGTCATCTATGACCTCAGACTCCTGATGACACCTAGGATTTTCTTGACTAACCAATCAACGTAGGTGATTCATAACTTACAGTGGAGGTGATATAAATCAGGAGGAGTGAAAGAACTAACAGTCACAACTCTACGACATAAACAATTCAATAATGACCAACGATCATGGACCAAAGGACATGTTTCGATGGATCAATCCTTCATCATCAGCAAATTTATAGAAAGAAGGAAATCTGTAAAAAGAAACAACGCTAATGTTCGTTTTTGAGTTTTGTTAAAACAACTGAATATTCCTACCATTATTGGAAGAAAACAATCGCACACAAATAACCAAAGAAACTATTTTTAAACCGCGCATAGTGCGGGTGGGTAACTGTTAGGGAACATACATAATAAAAGATCTATAAAAGCCTAGTTTTCCAAAATTTTTCGATATAAAGAAAATATCCGAATGAAACCAACATGTGGGTCTGAATTTGTTGAATTAAGTTAGCTCATCACAATCGACAAATGACACGTGACAATAATGACGCTCAAGACAAAGCACAACATCAGAATGGCATAAGTCACGCTAAATATTCCTTGGCTTTTTACGTGATTTGTTTCATTCTGATGTTGTGCTTTTTCCTCAGCGTCATTATTGTCAAGTGTCATTTGTCGATTGTTATTTGTGATTATAGTTGTGACTGTAAGTTCTCTCACTCCTCCTGATTTTCTTGCCTGTTAATATTTCCACCTCAGGAAGCGTCAGGTAGACCTGTTCTCGGTGTGTCAGTCATTTGCGAACTAGCACATCAGATGTTTGGTACTTTGTACCACTTTGTACATCACTGTAACATGGCAACTTGTTGTTGTGGGGAAACAGTTGGAATAATAAATAAACTCAATAAAAACCAGAAAGAATTACAATTCTTCTTCAATCATAAAATATAGATTTCCAAATCATTCAACCAACCAAATATACAGTCCACTCACACCAAGGCAGCGAACATATTGGTCTTATCGAGCAGGATCAAGAATCAGCAACATCAATAATCGATTTCAATCATCGAAAGCAACTTCGAGTTCTCCAGACGATCAACGGTCTACGCTAGCATCAGCTGGGCCAAGCAACCAGACACAGCAGACGACCGCAAGCAGTTTGAAGAACAAAATCAAATCATCATATCACATCGTAAGAAGGTAGAATTCAGTATTGTTCTCTTTCCTGGGTCAGTACAATTTACAGTTTTGACATATTACCATTATTCAATATTGCAATTTGAAATTCATCAATAATAGTCGTATTACGTCCTATTCGAGCTACCTTCCATATTCCAAACATAACATAACATAATATATTCAATTCACAATATAATTCAAATAATTTGTCACAATGACAGACTTGGATGATTTAATCATAAAATACAAGGCGATTAAAGGCCAATTAACAAGATTTGCGAATTTTGTCGAAAATTTTACATTTGAAGAGCAGAATAACATCTTTGAATTAGAAATTCGTGTTGAGAAAATTGAAAACTCTTTAAATGACTTAGCGTTTTTGCATACAAGTATTCAGTTAATAGACGATACGAAAGTTTCTGATGAACAGTTTTCAATTTCTGAAACATCATTTTTTAAATGCCTAGGTATGTCTAAACTGCTGATAGCTGAAAACAAATCGAAAACAGTTGATCTAAATACAAGCATTTCCGCACTACTTCAACTAATAACACTAAATTACCAAATATAAATGCAAGTCAAATCAATCACGATTACAAGACATATCAAATATATCAAAAACACAGTCAAATGCATCATCAGTGCCAAAATGCATATTCTGTAAAGGTCAACATAACATTTATTTTTGTGAAAATTTCTCAAGATTACCTGTTTCATCTCGAATAGTTGAAATCAATAAATTGAAATTATGTAAGAATTGTTTCAACTCTAATCACTTAGTAGACACTTGTAGAACCATGGGCAGATGTAAGAAATGCAATGAAAAACATAACACGATTTTACATCATGATCGTATTCCGACAAATTCTTTAATTGTAGCAGAAGAAACTCATGAAGCTGAAGATATTTCGACAATTTCAGCTTATTCTGTTGGTAATGAAAATGAATACATTCTATATTAGCAACGGCAATGGTTCAAGTTCTTGATGAGAGAGGAACTACACATCAAGCCAGAGCCATGTTAGATAGTGGTTCACAAAGCAATTTTATGAGTAGAAGTAGAGATTTATATTCGAAATTGAATTTACGAAAAACCAGTATCATAATGCAGGTTATTCGAATTAATCAAGTTCATTCAAATGTCTCTGAAAAAACAGTTGCTGAGATCATATCGCAGAACAGTTCATTCAAGACAAAATTAGATTTTTTATTGTTGGATAAAATAACCACCAGATTGCCATCAATTTCTTTTCGTGCAGATACAATAAATATTCCTAAAAACATGACCTTAGCAGATCCAAATTTTCATAAAATAGGAAAAATCGATTTATTGTTAGGTTCGCAAGTATTTTGGAATTTATTATGTTAAGAGCAAGTGAGGTTAGGAAAACACCAGCCTATTTTACAAAATAATCATTTGGGTTGGGTGGTTTCTGGTCCGTTCAGTCCTAAGTATTGTTCAAATTCAACATTCTGTCATTTTCCACTGCTAATTCAGAAATTCACAATAAAATTGAAAGGTTTTGGAAAATGGAAGATTGTGCATCAACAAATTTACAATACTCTTCAGCTTCAGAAGGTTATATTTGTGAACCGGCGCGGTTCTGCCAATGATCCGACATCAGTCGAAAGAGGAAGACAATAAAATTACTGTCTGAAGGTTCTCTCCTTCACAACAACAGCCACAAAATAATTCTTCCTCACTATTAGGCAATATTTTCGAAAATTCGATCCCAAAATCAATAAAATGGAAAACGTCGAAACACTCTTAAAACTCCCGAAAATATGATCGCCTCGTTCATCACCACTCTAGAAAAAGTGCGCGATATGTGCGCGATCACATACCTGCTGGCAACTTTTCCCTCCAAAAGAAATACCATCAACGTCACACCAGGGGGGAATAAAGAAGTGTTATTTTTGTGATGTGACGGCTAAGGTCATACTGAAAATATGTCCGATAGGACTAATTACAACTTCTCGATTTCTTCCTAAATTCATAAACATACTCACAACTTAGGAAACGGACAGACACGTTATGATCAATGGGTAATTTAAAGAGCACGCCACCGCCATAATTAAACTACTCAACACTAATTTCGTCGCACACCAAAATGTCGCCCCTGTTATAATGTGAATAACTTTTTTCAGTTTGGAACAATTTGAATTTGGTTTACACTGTTCGATAGCCTACTTCGACAACAGAGGCATGAAGATGATCTCATTACCTCGAGATATTTCGCGAATCAACTTCCTATCTCCCTTATTTACAGAGTGATCTCAAAAAATCTACTTTTTGGTTTTGCAGCCATAACTTTTTTCCACGTCAACCGATTTTGGAAATCTTAAGCTCATTTTGAAGATGAAACTTCAGATGAAGAGATCTGAATATCAGAATTGACTCAAGATGGCTATCAAAGATCTAGAGTTTTCTTGAAAGTGACCCAAATATGGAACGCCCTCCGAATGTCGGTTGGGAGGAGAATTGAATGAAAATCAACTTGTTCTCGGAAAAACAATTCATTCTGGATGCGTCCATATTTCCCTCGCTCTCAGTTGTCAAGAATGTGCGTGAGAAAACACAATTGAAACATGTTCTTGCAAAAACATCAGACCATCATTTCTCCATGTCTGTAATGCATGGCCCGTAACCAACGTTACAAGAATCACAGTAAGGGACTGACAAGTCAGGTTAGACGTCGTTTTCGAATCATAAACAGATTTTGATAGTTTCGATGCCGCATCTAACGCCCGACCAGTTGAAACTGATGATTCCACAAATGAGGGAACAAGGGTTATCTTCCCTCCAAATCGCGGATCTGCTAAACACGACAGTCCGATCCATTCAAAGGGCTTATCTCCGAGCTAATTCTGGGAATATTTTGTACCAGTCGAGGGGGCCAAGAAGGGGAACAACAAAGAAAACCACTCCTGCTCAAGACCGCCTCATTGGGAGAACTGTACGGTGAACCCGGACT